TGGAGCAGATGAAGGGTGAATACGACGCTAAAGAAGATAGGATGCTGAAATATGCGGAGGAAGCACGAGCGTTAGCTAAGGGTTTTGAGTCTTAGGAGCTTGTGCAGATACCAAGGGAGAGTAATGGGCGTGCTGATTTGTTGTCTAAAGTGGCGGCCTCACTAGTGGATTGCAAGTCACGCTAAGTAACTCTGTTGCAAATGGGGTCTAGCATTTTGGAAGGGGTTATGGAACTAGAGGTAAAGGAAGATTGGAGGAGTCCCATACGGCATTGGCTTACGCAAGCAGCGTTGGGACAACGGGATATTTGGGGCGACAAATTGGGTCGAAGGGCCTTGAGATTTTTCATTTAACAGGGAGTGCTGTTCAAGAGATCGTATTTGGGGCCGCATCTGCGGTGTGTCTCAGAGGAAGAAGGTGATTACGTGCTCAAGGGGATACATGAGGGTTGTTGTGGAGATCACATTAAGGCTCGGGCCTTAGTGGGGAAGGCGCTAAGAGCAGGATACTTTTGGCCAACCATGAGAGCCATGGAGAGGGAGTTAGTCCATAAATGCGTGAAATGTCAACAGCATGGGCAACTCGTTCATGTACCAGCGGAGGAGTTAATGCCGATGAGCTCAACCCTTCCGTTTGCTCAATGGGGGATGGATATAGTAGGGCCTTTTCCACAAGGGTCTGGCCAGAGAAAGTTTTTGCTGGTTTTGGTGGATTACTTTAGTAAATGGGTGAAAGCTGAGGCAATGGCCAAAATCAATGGGGAGAAGGTCATCAAAGTCTTGTTTACTAACGTCTGTTGCAGGTATGGCATCCAGCGGGCTCTAGTTTCTGATAACGGCCCACAATTCCGTGGATGAAAGATAAGGTCTTGGTGTGAAGAGATGGGCATTAAGCAGCATTTTACATCTGTAGCGCATCCACAAGCAAACGGGCAGGCCGAGGTGGCCAACAGGACCATATTAAGGGGTTTGCAGACTAGGCTTGACAAAGCTTCTGGTGCATGGGTGGATGAGCTCGACACAGTGCTTTGGGCGTTCGGGTGCTGTGCAAATTGATATAACGACTTAAGTCCGAGCTCTTGTGAGTTCGGGTGCTGTGCAAATTGATATAACGGCTTAAGTCTGAGCTCTTGTGAGTTCGGGTGCTGTGCAAATTGATGTAACGGCTTAAGTCCGAGCTCTTATGAGTTTGGGTGCTGTGCAAATTGATATAGCGGCTTAAGTCCGAGCTCTTGTGAGATCGGGTGCTGTGCAAATTGATATAGCGGCTTAAGTCCGAGCTCTTCTGAGTTCGGGTGCTGTGCAAATTGATGTAACGGCTTTAGTCCGAGCTCTTGTGAGTTCGGGTGCTGTGCAAATTGATATAATGGCTTAAGTCCGAGATCTTGTGAGTTTGGGTGTTGTGCACATTAACATAATGGCTTAAGGTCGAGCTATGGTTGGCTCGAGCGCTATGGGTAATGATGTGATGGCTTAAGGCCAGGCTTTTATAAGCCCGGGTGCTGTCAGTATCGTGCAGACAATGTGTTTGAGCTAGTTGAGGCTCGGGGGTGCATTCCGAGCAGAATAACGCTCGTGAAATAGCAGGCCAGATGGATTGATTTGTTCAAACAAGCTGTCGTTCACGGATAGCTTCCGAGCAGAATATGATGGGGTGTCTTGAACATTTGCGCGCCATTCATCTACTCGGCCAAACGGGCTTGAGCGAGCCATGTGATGGGGTGTCTTGAACATCTGCGCGACATTCATCTGCGCGCCATTCATCTGCTCGGCCAAACGGGCTTGAGCGAGCCATGTGATGGGGTGTCTTGAACATCTGCTCGGCATTCATCTGCGCGCCATTCATCTGCTCGGCCAAACGGGCTTGAGCGAGCCATGTGATGGGGTGTCCTGAACATCTACGCGCCATTCATCTGCGCGCCATTCATCTGCTCGGCCAAACGGTCTTGAGCGAGCCATGTAATGGGGTGTCTTGAACATCTGCGCGGCATTCATCTGCGCGCCATTCATCTGCTCGGCCAAACGGGCTTGAGCGAGCCATGTGATGAAGTGTAATAACCCAACTTTCTGTTAATAGAAGTAATGTATTATCTATTATCGATTCCGTTCATTTTCAGCAAATACGTTCGACGTTAAGTCGAAAAGTTATCCGGTTAGTTATTAACCGAGTTAAATTCGATAATTAATTTCCGAACCATTTATTTTATAAACGGACATTATTAATCGGGATTAATTATTGATAATGTAGCATGCTCAGAATTAAGTTCTAAGTTGATAATAAGCTAAGTCGAGAAGGAACGCAAGGTACACGAAGCATACGCATGTGCACGCATTCATGCACGCATGCCGTGCACTCGGCCGCGCACATGAACGCGCATTATGCACAGCACCGTGCAGCGCATTAGCGCGCGCGTTAAGCATTCGCTAAGCACGCACTTAGGCGATGCTTAGTGACATGATCGGACCAAACCCCCACCTTAATGTCACCATGAGTAAAAATGTAAAGATAAGTAATAGGTGTGCAAGTGGGGTGATGATTCACCTCCTTGCTTGCACACACGGCGCACCACGCACGCACGGGCGATGACTAAGCCCGTGCATGGCCGCCACCTCGGCAATGACTAAGCCAAACGTGCCACACTTCAGCCCATGATTGAAACACTTGGCATTAAGGGACAATGCATCATCAATCACCTCCTTTCACCCCAAGTTAGCCCTCGGTTTCATCTCCATAAAAATGACCGTGCGTGTGAGATTTCTCATGCACAATTCCATGCACCAACTTGTCCAAACTTCAGCATATTTAAGAGAGAAAATAGTGAGGAAATAATAAGAGAAAAAATAGTACAAAAATAGCTAAGTATTTCCGAGGCAAAAGGGAAGTATAAGGACATTGGCGGAGTACCGATCACGCACGCAAGTTATCATGCAATCTTCGACCGAACTGAAGGGTATACTCTTATTTACCTTCTGTTTATATAGTTAAGCTCATAATAGCAAGGTCAAGTCGACATCTTGTTGTTTGGTCCAAGTTCCTTTAGTAAAATGGCCTCGGAGGTACTATATAAGCCCTCCGAGTAACTTCAGTTTTTAACCAGCAAGTCCCGAACGTTTATTGCATAATTATGTTATTTAAGTCAAAACATGATCAGTCATATGTGGACTGCCGGAGAAAGTAGCCGGACGGCCGGCGAAATGCCGACCGTGATGCCTACCGCACGTGGTGTGCGCGCAGGCACGTCCGGCAGGCCAGCGAGTACACGGGCAGCGTCAGCGCGCCCAGTACCGTGCACGCGTGCCCTGTACTCGACAGCCAAGTGTCGCGATGCCGTAGTTATGCGTGTGGTCGTGCACAGTGCACGCCAACACGGTAGGCAACGCATGACCGTGTTCAT